TTATGCCAACAATTTATTGATTGTGCATGTTATTTTCTAGACAGAATTTTAATGCGAACATTGGTATCACATCATTGATACCTCTCTGCTGCAATCAATATTGCGTTTTTCTTCCCGTGTGTATCAAACACATGTTCAGTTACTCAAGCCCCACTGCACAAACTTAGAAGGCGTAAGTAAATAATATTCCTCACTGTCCACCATTAATGAGACGCGAAGGCCATTTAGGGATGGGTTTTTTTGCCTTTTCCATTCCTTACAGTTGGTAGATCGATTCGCAGGCCGCGATCAGGCGGTCAGTAGGCTTGATCGATCCGTCCGGCAAAGCGTGCAATTTGTGCTCGATGGAAAAGAGCGCGGGAAGAGGGAGGAAGAAAAAAGGGCGGGAAATGGTGTCCGCCGCTCGGATCACTGTTTATATCACGCCTTATTTGATGCAGCGTTCTTCCCCGGCTGCTGTGACGTCTGATAAACGCCGACAGATCACGGTCGTGACACGTTCGCAAGTTTACTTTTTTATCTAACTAAAATAAAGAGTGGCAGAATGTTCCACTGGCAAGTAAAGATTCGGTAAGTTACCTATATGCTCAATTAGGATCTCCCGTCCTGGTACTGTCACTGTCGTGACACGACGTGTTGCAGAGCAAACTGTTACCTTTGTTACTTGCGTGCATCTGTTTTACCGACTGCTGTGGAAAAATTGGCCTGGTGGCTCCCATCATTTCTGCTGTCTGTTAATGCTCAGTCTTTGAGGAAATGATCGTCAATACCTTACCATGTAATTCCCGACAATTAAGTAGGACTACGTTACATTATTGGTAATGTACACAACAAAAATCTCGGCATTTCACGCCTACATGTACGTAAACATGTACCATAACTACTATAGCCTCTCATGCATGCACACAATCGGCTGTCCATTATGATACTAACATTAACATGCAACCCTCCTTGTTAAGTGACTCCATTCGCTTATTCCATTCATTTATTTATTTGACCAGATAAGCCAATCGGAACACTTGATAAATTCCAAAGATTGGAAATCACAGGAGTCGAATTTCATTGTTTCACCACGCGCTGGTGTATCTGTAAAACTCCAGGGGTCCAACCTGCGCGTTTCACTGCCTCCGTTGTCTGCGTTCCAGAGCGGTGCGCATACACTGTCAAGTTTACCACGCCTTACCTCTCAGCCACCGAGATTACTGCGGATTAAATCTCATATATTTAGAGCAAGCATCCCATAAATCGCTTTTAAGAGCAAACCCCACTCTTACACGCCACAGCGAAATTATATTTGTAACCGAATACACCTGCAGTAACACGTGGATGGCCTCGCAAAGTGGTAAAAAAGCAACGAACGCAATGATTGCATCAGGGCTGTACCTACGAATACGGAAAATCACACGGGCACACGGAAACGTGTAGAACATGATACAAAAATTAGTCATCACTTTCATGGCTCTAACGCTAGTCGCAGTGGATATATCGGCAGCGCCGTATCCAGCTTTAGATGTCGAGGGGAGGAATTCAAAAGCAGATACGGCTTCATTCAACATGATGTTGGGGTGGAAAGAATATAAAAAACCCAATACTCGCGGTCCTGGCATCCTTGCTCTTATTTCATGGTGTAGCTTTTTCAGGGTTTTGGTGCTTATATCTGATAAATAAACATAAATTACTGTCATACCTATGAAGTACTTTTTGGCTTAAAAGAATCCGTCGGGGCAAGTCCTCCCTTGCCTCCATTGGATACGCCACTGTATATCGGAGAGGCAGAAGTTTTGGAAGACGTTTTATAAAATGGGGTGAAGTTCTGAATACCTATTCTTACAAAGATGAATGTTTCAGGACATGTTTTAGCCATGTTTGTCTAAGTCGCAACGTGTTTGAGCTTTGTTTATTTCGTTGTTGGTTACAACTTTGCACTATGGGTAGCACTGATTTTGTCGTATTGAGTTACCGGATGTCTATTTAACTAAGTGAAATATCCCCTTGTGATCTGCTGCCAGACATTTATCCGTCGAGGCAATTAACCCAAACGTGGAGGTGGCATTAGCCAGCACAGATCGAAATGGCGTCTTGAAAGAGAACTTACACAGCTTGAGACGCGCGGCTTTCTCGTCGCATTATTTCTCTTCACTTTTCATTTTCAATCCAAAGATGTCAGCACAAATTCCGCAAAGTGGTGGTTCGGCTACATCGAGCCAATTTACTTAGGTCCGCCCCCCTTTCCCTCCAGATATTTCTCCCTCAAAAAAGTAACTTACGGCTCCTCTAGGCGAGCAGCAAGTGTGGGTCACTTGGAATTCCTGTCCGTGACCACCCCGATTGACTGGGGAGAGTCGATCTGCGAAACCAGATGATTTGCCCAACGTGCTTCGTAAGAGATTGAACAATCTAGAGTCGGATAAATTGTTTAGTGACGATGATGGAATGCACCGGCCAATAAACCGTCTGATTCCTTGGAAAAGAATATACAGTGATGGTTGAAGGGATGGGTACTGATGCATCAGTTTTGTTATCTTTTGCGATGAGCGAAAAAAATCCGCTCAGAGAGAAACCGCAGAACTTACTCAGCGGACGTACCTCCTCCTTAATATGCAATTTGTAAGGCCAGTTTTAATATCGGTACTTCGCTGGTCCTATAGAGCATAGAGCAAGGAAATGTATAGAGCGACATCTTTTACTGGTGAAGTACCACGAAATAAGCTAAGGATCACAATAAGAGTTGCAACACTTGATGCTCCAACCATAGAGCAAACCTTGCTCGACGCTCCAACGGAAACTGATCCGAGGGCCAGAACCCTGACTTTGCAAGCTACCGCAAGATTGTACTTTTCAAGGTTCTACTTTGAGTGAGTAGAGGGTCCCGACTGAACACGTTCTCGTGATATCTATCCATGAAATCCTGACTGTGCTAACTTGCCATCTGCAAGCAAAGGGTCGGGCAAACGAGAAAAGAGATCCAGATCGACGGAAGCGGACCGGCCCTCCTCACCCCCCACCCCCGCCTCTGCTCTATTTGGTCACAAATCCTGCTATTATCACGAACGGAACCTCAGACACGGCTAACCAATTGTGGCTGGCACAAAATCGTCGAAGCACATGATTCTTTCGGGCAACTGTGCACGTGAGAACATAATGACCATGTGACTCAATTTTGGTGCTCCAAATATCCCAACGTATCGATCCCAGTAAAAACCAGGGTTTCCTGTTTGCAATCCGCTTCTACCAAATCGTGCCCAATACCACTGTCCTGGTTGCTTACCGTAAAGGTTACAGCATTGATTTTGTAGGGGGAGAATAAGATTGGAAGCGCGGTGGAAGGTGGGTAACTCATCCGGAAAAGACAACCGCTTGTTTCGGTTTGGAGACAAAGAACAGTTGAAGTGCAGAACGTGTAATGGCGGAGAGAGTAGGGGAATATTGACAATGAGTTAGGTTACAGACTGCCAACCGCACTTTGGCCGGCTTCACATCCCTTCGGCCGTCGCCGGACTGGCGGTAGTCAGTCGGGCTGCCGTGGCGATCTAATAACGCGGACTCTGATGACAAGCTGCGGCAGTTGCGCCGCTACCTGCCGCGCATGTACGCGGGCAGGTAGTCCGCGGTTTTCCAAGTTCACGCGTGTGGCTTTGCGGTGTAAACGCCAGGAGTGGTTGGCCAAGATTGACGTCATTGTTTGCCAGCTGGCGATGTCCTTATCCTTGTAAAATGTTGCGTGGCAATTAGGGGTGGCCAATAAAGCTAATGATGCACAGTGCATCTGCATTCTTCGTCTGCCCTTGTTAGATTTTTTTCCCATGACTTCAAGCCGATTTATAAAGACATTGTAAGGAGCATCGTGCTTCCACTTTGCAACGTGTTCAGCTTTTGATACAGTGGTTTGGGAAGGTAATAATGTAAAAATTCGTACAACTAAGATGCAAAGTGCTCACATTATTGCACTTTCCTTGAAATGTTGATCACAGCAAAGCTTAAATTTCCAACCCCTTTTAACCGCTTGGAATCCCTCCACCGCAAAGTGAAAGACGGCGATCGTCCCGATCGGACGAATCCGTTTTCTCTGAATCGTCTTTATTGGAGAGAGGGAACGATGTGATGTCTGAGTTTGAGACGCTGAGTACGGGCAGTGATTTAGGTCGTGCATTTTGGAAGGGAAACAAATTTTTGTTCGGTTGTTTTAATACAGCAATTTATAGCTGGTCGAGTCTTCCTAGAGTGTGGTATGATATTTTACGCTACGGCCTCTGGCTCTGTGGGTGCTGCCTCACTTGATTGCTTTCAGACTAATTTATGATTCTTTCCCGTGCACTCCTCGCCAAAACAGTCTTACGGGAGAATTTATCTGTTTAATCAGGTTTGGTGTCACAGTGATTACTGTAATGGAGCCCCCCGTGCAAATGGGCGGGCTGTATGAATCAAGTGCACGCGCCGTTAAGATTCTGTTGCGGGACATTGCTCATTTTCTAAACAATATTCCATTACCAGTGCAGAAAAATAGGGCAGGAAAAAAAACAGGGCGGCCATTCTGAGGTCTTGCCTTTCAAGCAGCATCATGCCGCTTCTTCCTGGAAGGAATAACTGCATGAGATGTTTTTTGGTAATTGTTAATGCCATTGCATTTTCGCGTCTGTCTCTCCAATAGCTTTGAGATGTACTAATCACCATCAAAGACACAAGTTAGATTTTTGTCAGGTAAATAGAACAAAAGCCTCTGTGGTGCTTTCTTTGCCGATTGAACACCTCGCTAATTTAACTTAAAGCCCACAATATGATGAACAATGATGAATTAACATCAAGCTTCTTGACGTTGTTTTCTGCCTTGCGGTGCCCTTGCAAACCTTGCTTTATTGTCAGCTGAGAACGTGGTGCCGAAGGCGGTTTTAATTAAGCAAAACGTATCAAGTTAAAATAACGTTGGCAATGGTAAACGTTGGATAAAAAGTTCTCCTTTCAGTGCCAAAAAAGCCAACTGTCCAGATCCACGGAGCTCTTACCTTTAAACCATTGTCCCTGGCGCCTCTCAGTTAACGTGCAAAAGTCCAGGACGCATCGAATTTTTCCTCCGTGTAGTGAAAAGCGAATTCCGACTTATCACACACCATACAGAAAACAGGTGACTTGGCATTCTTTTCTTCAACTACATTCTTCCTGAGCGATCGCAGTGCGAAAGACAATAACATTCAGCAGGTCCAAAGCGCAGTGAACAGGAAGGTTTCACTCGCCCGCCTCCGGATCAAGTGCGCAAGCTCGCTGGTGGGCTCATCGCGATCATTAATGCAATTGAAAGGCAGTGCGCAGTCCAGGTATATTAGCCGTGCGCGTATCGATCTCACGCCGTTCGCCATTAGCAATACACGCGGCCCATCCCCCCGTCTTTGGTTTCACACATAATGACCCCCTGGACACGCCAACAAGCTACAGTCAATCTTTTTCCAACCTTCGCTTCGAATTTTCCTGATTGATTTTTCCCTTCCCCTCACTCCCTGTCCAGAAGAAACACGGCCGACAATTCTCGGTTCTTTGCATAGTTTAATGCGCGACGCGAATCACCCGTTGGACGGAGGAGAAAACATTTTGGCATCCGAGCAAGCCCCTGTCTTCTTCTAGACTAATTTGGCACTGAAGATCAAATCTGTCAGGTGCGAGAAACACGCTAAGGATATTTCTTCGTTTGAAATTCTGACAATAGATTTCACAAAATTGGTTCACCGTTTATTACATGCTTATGATTTTCATGGGTTAGTGTTTTCTTCTCTTTTTTAGCTCAGCATTTGAAAAAAAAAATAACCATTTTCTTATAATAATGCAGAAACACACACACAAAGAATAAACAAACAGAATATGTTTATCCAAAATGTCTTGGATTATTTTTGATATTTTTCTGGTTGAGGTGGAAAAAAATAAGTAAATTCGCTGGCTGTCGGAAAACTGAAATAATGAATATTGGCTCACGTGCACAAGCCAAGGCAAACAGCCTTGAAGATGCTGCTTTGGTGTCTCTCGATGCGAATCTAATCAATTTATTGCTGTTTTTTCCTCACGGAAATTGGTGAAAGGAATTCCTAATCATAATATTTGTGTAGTGAGGTATCATGGCTCCCGAAGCTAAACGTCATTAGGGCACCATAATCATAAGTGGGGAGAACGAAGTATAGTATTCCGTAGCTGAAGAATTGTCCATATAGCGGGGAGATCCAAATGGTTGAAGAAACAAAGCCAAGGGGTAAATTGCTTTTGAAGACAGATACCCTTCGTGCTGGCCTGCCTGTCCTTCGTGATCTTGTCAAGAAACACACCACTCATTCATGACGACAGTGAGAGGTTTCATGTTTGCAGCGCACAAAGCACTTGCGCTTTAAATTGAAGCAAAATAAGATTGCAAATTAGAAATACAAAGCAGATGCAAAACCTGAAAATGGTGAGGTAGCACGTTTTGGTGTCTTTGTGGACCTTATCGTACGGTTTATCCTTTAGTTTTATTTTTTAGTTTAAAGGCATAATGAGGTTTTCCGAGGCGTCAGGTGACTGCTCTGGGATTCAAAAATTGGTCAGTGTTTACTAATGGACCGACGTTAAGAGCTGTAGTAGAAATTAGAACGTGGAGTAAGCGAGGCCGTTACTTCCCAGACGAACACCTGCAACCCTAATGCACCGTAAGCAAAATTGACATGTCGCAATCACGGACGTCTTGAGGTAACTTCGGGTACCGTTACCACAGTCGAGCACAGCCTCGCTTTGACCCTGGTCACTGCTTGGCCAAACCAGTGTACTTTATTTTTGCTGTTAGCGAGGCTGGGGCAGGTTATTGCTTCAATACATGTTGGCCTACTGTCTTTGCAGCTAATATTGATGTTGTTGCTACTGATGCTTTCGTTGCTGCTGTCGTCTCTGTCGTCGTCATTGTCGTTGCTGCTGTTCTCACTACTGTCGTCACTATTTTTTCTGTAGCCGTCGCCGTCGTCGTTGTTGTCCCCACAATTGTTACTGAATGTACAATAACCAGACTCAAGCATGCACAGTCAGCATTTTCAGACTGTTGCTAAGTATAATCAGAGATATTCCATTTTCCTCCAGCCCCTGTTTCTCCCCAGTCTTTCAGCTGTTTGCACTTTTTTGCCGCAGATGAACTCGGCACAGAGCGGGCCTGTTCAGAATACGCATCGGGTAGGTACACAAGATGTACCGGTACGTACTATCACCGCGCGCCAACCCTAAGGCGTTTATGCACGGATTGCTGGTGTAAAGATCCCGAATCGGGACATTCACTCAGAGTAGCTCTTGCTCAGACGTGCTCAGAGTCCGAATGAATTTCCTTCTGCTAAACCTTCAAAAAAAGGTTACAGTCGGCCCCCGGTTGAATATAACTGAAACGGATTTCGATGCATATTCATGAAAATCTTGTGCTTGGTGCCCAGATCCCAGAAATGAAAATTGATTCTTGTGCTGATATTACCCAATAGTGAACGTCTCCCAGGGCTTATTACTAATTAGTGACAGTGCTGATACTAGTGATGTGCTTGGGGACGCATCAAAATGCAGCAGAAATTGACGATAATAATCACTCACCTTTTGCTTCCCTACTTAAATTTGAAATGAAAACTCCATTTTATAAGGGGAGAAAAAATAAATTTGTTCCCTACTTGTATTTCTTTTACCCTCACCAATATTCGGTTCGCTTCAATTTTTCAGCAATGTAAATATATTTCTAATCACTGACGGAACAAACCGCCCGCAAAAGCACGCCCTTCTAAACGCAATGGAACAAAAACTCCTTAATTGAAGACTGCCATGCACGCTGTCGAGCTGAGGCGAATCGTCTTCTCTCTCCATCTCATCAGATCGATATGCCCAACCCGAGACTCGATATTCACTCCACTTTGGGCGAAATAGCCCCCCGTCTGGATAAATTTTCCGCGAGAGGGGAATTCGCTGCGGGACGGGCGGGAACCGAAACACAGGAGGAGAGGCAAGGTAGGCTGTGCGGCGAGAAGCGGCCCGGGTTGAGGTGATCTAAGTTTGGGGGCCCCGCAGTCCACAGGGGGCTCCACGCTGGATATCTTCGATTGCGGAACACTATCCGGATACTGGCATTTTATTACCGGCTTTGATTACTCTGGGGCGACGGGTAAAGAAAGAATGACGAAGGGGGGAAAAAGTGTGTCTAACTTGGGCTTCAACGGTCGAGCGTGCTGTAAGACACAAGATGAAGAAGGGGATCCGGTCCAGGGCAGCTGTATATATCGCGTCACCCGTTGCAATGCCAAGACTCCGACTTAGATTTTCCGGCTAAAAACACCGACACGTACACTTTTCCTGGTCTAATTCCATTGTGCAAAAGTGCAAAATAAAAAGGGTTTTGGGCATGGTTGCAAAACTAGGCTATGTTTTTAAAAGCCAGGAACTGAAATTCTGTTTCTTCAAATGATCGCACAAGCTTTCATTTAGAGTTTCTTTATTTTGGCCCTCCATTGCAATCTCAATAACTTAACATCAGACCACTGTTGATACTTGGATACACGCAGCGTCACTCTTGAACAAACCTCTCGGCAGATTTCCACGTTTTACTAATTAAAAAAAATCCCTCATTGATTTCCTGATATTTCGGCTTCTCAAGTGACTCCCCTGGTACTGATTTGCGAGTTCTAGTGTACCGCGTTCGTATTTCATCCAGTGATTTCTCGGGGAATCAAAAGTCATGTCAAAAAACTAAACTAGGGGAATCTCAGGTTTCTTTCAATAAGAGATAACTGAGGGAACTGTTGCTGTGATGTCATTCAGGGAAGACGCTGTTTTGTGTAAGTAATAATATTTCTGGTAAAACAAGTTCTTCTTATGCCTATCGTCTTGTAGATAAACAACAATAACCCGCAATAAAAAGAAATCAATGATTCAAGCAATTTTGGGGAACTAATAAATGCATGAACATTAAAATGTTCTCCCTAAAATGGCATTGTGGTTTGGTTATGAATATGGAAATTTGCATTAGCATAAAAACCAATACAGGTAGTCCTACTCCTATGCCTTTTGAAACAGCAAAACAAAAAAAAACCTAAAAATAAAGTGAATTCAAACATATGGTTACATGTTCAAGATAATGATTGCATTCAAAATTGCATTGTGTGGACCTTTTTTAACGGGTAGTTTTATTCCTAGTGGGCCCATGTTGATTTTTTATGAGAAAAGGCACGTAAAACGTCAATCATAGATGAAAACTAGACGATTTGCTAAATTTTCAGAACATATTACCATACGTGAGAGTCGGCAGAGATTAAGATAACTTTGTAATTAAAAGAAATTCAATTCAGTTTAAAACTCATGACAAAATCACAACAGACTTACCACAGTTTTGCTTACTCTTTATTCCTTACATTGTTTATTGTGCTGCTTCAAATTCCACTTACAAAAACAAATCAAAGTGAACAATTCTGTACAAATATTTTACTCATATATCATCTGCTTGTCTGCATTGCTCACAATCTGATAATCGTTTCACGTCCACGCGTGCTCGCGATGTGTCTCATGATGTGTGTAACTACCTCTTGTCTTGTCAGTCTGTCCGGAAACTGGAGGTCGATGGTAATCTATGAATCGTTAAACGAGTACCCAAGATTCGCTTTGACGAGAAAAAGCGACGGCTGACCATGTTTGAACCTGGTAGTTGAGGGTCAGCCATCGGAGATCGAAATCCAAGGCCAGAATATGGTATTCTCTTCCTGCCAACACCTGAAAGAGGGCCAGTTTCAGCAGGGAGGTCAAACTCTCTCCGGGTAACAAGTCAGGGAAGTCGCGACCTGAAAACATGAAAGATTTAAAAACTGAAAAATGGCGCGCACAAAGTGAATCAACGCAATTCACCTCCACTGAACTGTAGTGCAGGTGCTTGCCAGTACATGTCTTCATAGGCATTTGTATAATGCCTATGAAGGCACAGACTAGTAGTGATCACTGATCACTACTAGTCTGTGTTCCAGTTGAAATTTCAAGGAACTTTAAGAGGAGCGGGCGACATGGCCTCTCTACAGATTTTGTTCTGCTTTTCAAAAAAACTTTTAGTTAGAAACATGGACGGAAGTATGCCACACGAATTTTTTATTTTTCAACTGTCACTGCTGTAACATTTACGATCATTGATTTAATGTACATGCACTTTACAAGAGAAGAATATGTACATGTATAGGAACTTCGCCAAAGATGTATGTTCAAATATTGACCAACGATGATATTTTGACAAGTGTTTACAGGCTGAGTAACAATTATTTCCATCGACTGATGGTGTGACAACTACGTACTCTTTTTTTACCTTGTTGTAGCTAGGGAGACCATATTTAGGACCACAGCTTTGTTTTTCTTCACATTTTTTTCGTAAGCCTTGCTTTTTGTCCGTAGGTTTACTCATTTCGTCCAATTGTCTTGTTTCCTCAAAGACTGTCCGTCAGTCTTCAAGTCCTGATAAGTTCGTCCGATTGTAACGTCTCCCTAAAAAAATTGAACATCTTAGAAGACTACTGAAAGGTTGCATGCTTTGCTTAAGCCGCACGGTAAATCGAGAGTTCCAAATCGCACGTCAGCTGGTCCAGGGAACAGTACCCCCTCAGCGTCACATGTCGCATTCAATTAGCATGGCAGTACGGACTATCCAATCATCTTAATCGGATTGTTGTAGGGTTACGGCGACAGCGGCGCACGCAACTGCCAAGCATGCAAAGAAGAGTCAGGCGGGGGCGGCGGGGGGGGGACTCAAACCCTTCCAGTAATTCCCGCTCAAGCTGTTTGTATGAAAATTAAAATCACCCAGGGTCACATGCTGGTTGGCAATGAATTTCAGGACGTCTCGCGTTTCACCGTAAGTGGAAGCCAAAACAAAATTAATCAAATTGGCCGGTCCGATTCGCTGAAAATGCGCAGGTAAAAATACGCAAGGAGCCCCGGGTTATCATACCGATATCGTTTTATGATATCCATGCGCGCCGAAACCTGTCAGCTTGAGCCGTGGAAACTAAGTGACACCTCTGGAGAAAACGACTCGAAATCAAAGTCCCCCGAAAGTGAAGCGGTATGTCAGTGTGAAATCTTGGATTGCAGGCAAACCATAGTGCAAGAATAGTCAGCATCGCAGTTGTGATTCCAGCCGTTCCGTTTAGCACACCCGTGAAGGATGGAGTTTCACGCATTGTCAGATTTCTGTATATCTTGCAATGCTGCGCGCATTCAACACCCACGTGCTAAAAGTAAATCACGACTGTTTTGGGGACAAGTTTGTCCCTCAACAAGCATTAAACAGAATGATTTCCCCGGTCGGGTAGGGCGTCTTTTTTCTGTCGTGCACGTCTCGGACATGCTAATATCACTGGTCTAGAAGATCAAGTGTCGAACACATAAAAATGAGATTTGCATGAAAGCCTGCCAAATCCTGATGGGCATGGCGCATGCTCTTTACAATAGAACACTGCAGTTGCCACTGTTGAATACAGGAAAAAGCCATGTCCTACATCACAACCGTCAACAGCTGTTAAATGTAAAACAACTTTTCGTTCATGTTGTAGTCAACGTCCTTTATAGTCATTACTACATGCATCAAAATGTTTGTTATGGTCACCAAGTCAAAAACGTTCATTTTCATTTTTCACAAAGGACGGCTAAACAACGCTTTTTAAAACATGGAGCTGCTTCGCCAGGGAAAACACAAAAGACGGGTATAATTTCTCATAGAAAAATTAAATCATTATTCCAGTAAATTCTGAACGGGCTGTTACGACCATATACAGTTTCCACACTGAATACAAAATAGTTGAGATCCAAAACCTTTTCAACGACACTACAAAATACTAGCTTGTGTGGCACAACGATTGACAATCATGCGTCAAACTATGTCACCGTCGTCTTCGTTTGACTCACCCAAACAGTCATCTACTTTGAGCGAATCCATGTATTCTTGAAACCAAACTCTGTCCAACATAGCGACAAAGGCTATCACAGAGTCACGCTATTCTTTTCTTGGTTGTCATGGCCTTTGGCTCAGAGCATCATGCTGGAGGTGAGCATTACTCATTGTTTTCGATACATTGCGCAAAATGTTCTACATGCATGTTTTTGTTTCGAGGGGCAACAGTCCTGCTGGATGATCACGTTTCCAGTTGAAATCAGCACCCGTTCCTGCGGACGCAAAACCCTCTTCAAATCCTGCTCAGGTCAAAGATGAACAATTTGCAATGTCCGCACTCTATCCCATGCTTACTTTGCCGTAATTTGTCCACACTTTTTCAGGAACTTTTTTGCCCCTGCCCACTACAACTCAAAAGTGCTATAAAATCGGAATTATGTTTCCCAATTCAGGACAAAGTGCCATAATCCAGTATCAAGTATGTGCACAAGACACCCGGAGATGAATGCAAATATTCTTACACAGAGGACAGGAACTTATTGAAAAGGATTTACGGGTGTGATAGTTCGGCAGGCTGACGATACACTACAGTCGACTCACCAGTCATGCCCAAATGTCCAGTAAAATCCTGTACAGTATTTTGAAATCCAACAAAATATTTTTGTCTATTCATTCTCTTTTGGGTTTTCGTGCAATATTCGACCAATATCTGAATTACTACCGTACCTTTCCTGTTTTCCCAGCTTTCCGTCGGTATATTTGGACGTTTCGACTTGGTCCCTTTAGTCAATTATTGATTTTCAAGCTCTCTATGATCCCATATTTGTTTCTTTTAGTTATTTTTTTCTACGTTAAAATCTACTGTAACACTAATTTCTCATATTGTCAGTGGTCAGAGTTCACATTGGTTTTATAAAGCATTCGCGGGATTTATTCTATACCGAATTGATTTAACAATTTATTTATTTCGACATCTTAACCAGTGGACATTGTCGGTGAAGGGTGAACCCTTTCGTATAGAATCAACAACATCCCGACAGGGGAGGGGGGGCATGGGATCCATCACTTGACACTCAAATGCTCTTACAAAGATTTAAGTGGCCATGTACATTTAGCTATTGCGTTTTGAAAATGTCCATTACACCACAAGGAACGACACCGCTACAAAAATGCCTGGCTCGTCTCGGCCTCCGTATCTTGGCTATCGTACTGAGTCGTCTGATTGTTAAACCGCATCGTGTATTTGCCTGCACAAAAAGAAGAGGGGTAAAACAGAACACGCTGTTAGCTAAGAAGATGCCACGTTGTAGCGCCTGTCAGTGCCAATATTTCGTTCTTGGATATAAGCCAGCGTACCTGGCAGCTGAAACCTCATCAAGATTGAAATGATGAATGTGCTTTATTGCCGAGTTGCAGGGAAACCTCTCCAGGTGGAATCTAGGGCACGGCTTCCTTCAATCCCAAAATACATCTAGTTGGAAACAAGTCGGCCTGATCGTGAACATTTAGAGGTTGCAAATTTTGGCATTAAACAACGTTCCGTCCAATCGCAAACACTTCCCCTTTTCTTTAGAAAACGGCATGCTTACGCTTATAGACCGATTACACCCGCTTAGTCACGTGACCTATAGTGGGTATTAAATGTCAACAAACACGGCGTCCACCAAAGGCAAAATCATTTCATAAGTATCATTTACTAAGAATACAGCCGACGGTAGGTACCGCACTCAGACCACTGATGTGCTGGGTACTATATCGTAACTTGGCTGCATTGTTTGTAAATATCATCCAAAGCAAACGTTGCTATGGGGTTGACACCCACATAGGTCACGTGATTTAGCGGTCGCAGTTGGTCTATTCTGAAACTGTATTATCATCCAAATTTGACCACACATTCTGTGGTCTGTTTCGTAGGAGGGCTGCACAATCCCAGTTACGGTTAAAGCCTTCGGGGGACAGGATATGACACATATCTTCTCGCATGAAGGTCGGGTACCGACTGAATATAATTTAAAGTGACAGTATCTTCAAGAATGCACGCGGACTTGCAACCTGAAACAGGCACTCAATTCAGAAAAAAAATCTTTTACTCCATGTATATATCCACCAACAAATTTCAGATGGTGATCGAATGGACTGCTATTAAACAGTGTTGTCTCTTTTTTCCTTTCAAATATCAGCCATTACCAGAAACTACCCTACTTGCGTGACTTCCTTGAAATTCAAAACACTGTGTTAAGGCGCTTTTCCATATGTACGTTTTTATGGGTGCGTTGTGTACATGATGCGCTCATGTGTTTCACTTTCACGGACACAAAAATCGACCCCATTAACATAACACACATGTGCGATGCGTTGGGTGGGCCAAAATCGCCCTGGGAGCGATTTTGACGGATACGCAACGCTTGGCAGCAAGTGCTGACGTGCATATGGAAAGGCGCCTTAACACTGTATTTGTGCGCAACGTCTGAGTTTAAGCAGTCCTTTGCCCATTTGGGTTAAATTCCTTTGCAAAACTTTGAAGCATACACCTGTGGGCCCACTCCTAAGTTATTCGAAAGAATAAATATAAGTGCTAAAACACTAAAAATATTTTTCCAGGAAATAACAAAAATATCGAGAATCCTTTGCAATCCCTTTGTTTATTGATAAGTTTACTTTAATTGATGATCAAAATAAGAAATAAGGTAAATGTGATCGAACAAAGCAGGGATTTGTTGAAATATTCCCACTGCGATCTCATTGCACAAAAAAAGCGCATTGAACCTCACAGGGGGGATGCTGGTCTGGACAGATATATTTAGATTGTGTAATCAAGGGTAAGCCCACCCCTAGTAACACGGCGCTGATAAGGGTCATCTTGCCTCAGAAAATTAACGTTGATGCACGCACAAGGTATATTAGACGCCACTGCCTGGGATGTGAAAAATATTTTCACCTGGAACGTCTCTGAGCTTGAAAGACACTCCAAGCACTTTGCTCGCTTTTAATATGAACTCAGATGATAATCTCTTCGATAATGTGATAATATGTTTTTATGAATCATGGCAACACTTTTCACTGGCATGAGCTCCCCAGTGCAAATGAGATTAAAGGAAAAGCGACTTGATTTTTTTCACGAATGAGAGTGGATTATTAAGCGTTGATCAACAATTTCATTGAGGCCACCCTTTGGGTAAATCACATATTGCAAAAAAAAGATGCCGACTAAACATGCCATTCTCATACAAAGGTGGACTCATCTATTTGTCATTTTCATTTATGGTTAGCAAGAATTTCACTTCGGTAAACTTGTGCGTAGTTTGTTAAGAAAACTGCACTGCTTAGGGGATGGGATGAACAGCAATTGGAGCCGACAAAAGTTTGATTTCACTAATCAAAGAAACATCACATTACTGAAATAATATAACATCTTTTAGATAGCACCTATAATATTTTTGATTTACATATGCCAAAGCCTAAGATTTACAAATTCGTGAGGTCGGTAATTAGCAAGTGGGGCACATATTTGAAAGTGAATTTGAAATTCTTTGCTGTGTTGCAAAATTTGGGCCAAGATATCTTTTCCAGTCAACCTTTATCTCGCAATAGTACTGCTGTTTTGCCGTTTTGTTCGTTTGCTATTTTACCTATTTCATAATATAGAAATAGACGCACTGGATGAAACTGAGCAAGACGAGGACCTTTCTCTCGAAAAATGGCTACGTATTTAGTTGCCGAGGTACAGTAAGTTGATTTGGACCAACCGTACTGGAAATTTTGTTGTCTAACCGCTCGTCAGGAATATACTGTACCTGGTGTGTTGTCTCTGGGATTTTGTGTACAATTAACCGTCATTGCCACTTGATTGACTCTCTGAGCTGCTCGCAAAATCCAATTTAACTCTCATGCATTTTCAGTCAAGAGTCTGTTTGAGCTGAAGAGGGTCCTTGATTACACAGGTCGCTCCTTGACAATAATCTCGTCTGGTGAAACCTGACACTTAATCAGTTTGCGCAAATATGAGGGTTTATATTGCCTCGGTCAATGTAAATGTGTGAATTCAACTTTCTCTTTTGCAATTCGATGACAGGAACCAAAACAGATGTAAAGCAGTGAGCAACACAAGGCAGAACGAAAAAGGAGCTTGTGCAATACAGTCTGTATGAGAGGGACAAACTTCTTTGACCAATGTATGTTTTGTCGCTTGGTGGTGCCCCAGAAGGTCCAAACACGACCGACCATGTCCTGTGTTTGAATGAGCACTATGACGAAAGCTGTTTGATACTTGAAAGGCTGGACGATGTATACAGCGCCCTCTACTTTTTTGCGCCCGATAGGAATGGCGTTGATTTGCTCTTGCCGTTGAGCAAAGTATTTCGCGTTCACTCTAGTTTAAGTAACCAAATCGTAGATATTTATTTTGAGTGTCAAAAATGTAACATCGGACAGACGATAAGAGCCGTTTTTCACATTTCAATTCCGTAACGGCTTTTTAGAATCATATTTTTAAACATCTACTTAACTGAAGGACAAAGAGAAAGCACTCCAAGATTTGGCCTTGGGTTATATTTTGTTTCTGCAGCAAAAAAAATGTAACTGAACTGAACTTGTTTGGACTGAACTCGTTTGGAAGGTATTATATTCATGGGACTAAATTTATACAACTGAAGCCTGCAATTCAAGCCAGAGACGTATTCAGGATTAGGAAGAAACAAGGGTAGGTACTGTACCTCTGCTTCCGCAATGGCTGTGATTGTTCATTACGTCTCTAGGTGGCGCCTCGTAATGTGACCTCCTCGTAGACGTGGTGTTCAGTCGTCGCACGTTCTTTTCCGGTTGAAAGACTATGATGTACACTTTGGGCGTAAACAGGCACGCCAGGGCCACCGTAGCACTCATGCTGACTGTTACGCAAAGCGTGGTCGTCTGCATCTGTAAAGAAAATGAAAAGATACAAAGAAAGTGGCTATAAATAGCCATATGCGTGATGGTCTGCCGCTGTCGGTTTTCAGTCATTGTCTCTGCCCACGGATTTCGCTGAGCAGTATTATTCCTCATCTGTATAAATGACTAACTGAATAAATACTGCCCTCCTTTAATTACATGTATATGGGGTCTTTATCATGGGGGCGCTGTTTAAAGCAAGTGTCGACGGGGCAATCCAGTACCTTCGCTCTATTACCTCGCACACTAGGAAGGGCATATTATTATGCTTTTATAGAAATTAAGCACAAGCAGAGCAACGCATGTCCATAGCTTGCTGCATTAATCAATACATCCGCTGCACACTAGACGCGCGTTATTGTTCAAAATAATTATATTCACCGTGGGCTCCATGGAATTATTTCCAGTATCCTGGCCACGTGTATTAATTCACAAACTGATAATTTTCAGCGTAGGCCCCTAATCCCTTTTTCAAGTCAGACTTATTGCTAGAGACTGCAAAACATCCACCGGGTAACAATGCCGATGAAATCGTAAACGGCCACGTTTTATTTGTTGTCTATGGCAAGTTCTGCAGGCCTAGAGGCTATTATCTTCACTTTTGTGTTATAAGGAATTGTTCATCATTACTTTTGCAGCCCTAAGGCATTCATCCAAAGAGAGCCAGGTTACTTGGGACAATCTCACAGCCGGCGGGGCAGACTTCAACCCCCCCCCCACACACACACACACAAACTCGGTTGCCCATGCCCTATTTGCGAAAAACACTACTTCATCTATTTGAATTGCTTCTGCGTTGCCGTAGTTAGAAACACTCAAAATAATTATGGTGGTAATAATAATTACTGAAAATAGGTCATTAGGGAGACATTCTCATAAGAACGTGCACAATTTTTCCCAACTTTACTGTCCCATCATTCAATATACCCTGATCTGATCTGAACCAAACTTTGCATGTTTTCATTTTAGACCCTAATCCATCATCTCTCAAAATTTGGACGGTAAAATTCGGCCTCCTCCTTGTAGTTGGAGCCTTAGGGAGACCAAATGACCAGTATCTCCCTAAGGTTGAAAATTTTACAACAAAGTGTCTCCCATATGACCTATTTGTGCTGATATGCCCGAGAGTAAAGCGATACTCGAATGGCGAAACCATCGCAGCCACAGTTGGTGCCTGGAGAATGCACTGAAATTGATCGTGTGGCAATTTGGGCATAAACCTGTCCAAACTGGTGAAATCTCTCGTTTATGCATTGCATCATGTCATGTGAAAAATTGGATTTCTTCTTCAAAGTGTTGATACAAGCTCTGAAATAATGTGTTATTAAAATATTGTTATAGACCTGAACCTATTTTATGAACACAGAATACTTTTAGGTGCAAGGACCGCTTCGAGCACTACAGAAGTACAGAAAGAACTGCTTTATCCATTGAAAAATTTCTACTGATGGCTTGGTATTAATAACACCGTCACAAACGTCTCCTCCAAACTTGTCACAAGAAACCAATTTCGTATTTCGGACATGCATGCGCACACATAAGATTACAAAATTTCTAATTTGGTATGTTCATCACTGCAGCAATAGTCTGTAGGAGAACCCAATCCGTGGTCTGTGGTCTTTTTGTGTTTCAAGAAACGATGGAATTATAGTTTGAACAAAACCCTGCTACAAAATAAATTAATGTAAAACATGGAGGCATCCACTCTTGAAAGTTTTCATTTAAGTCAGAAGAAAACTGCTACTTTATTTACACGGTTACTCTCCGTAAAGAGCGGATTGATTATGTCCAAATTAAAAATCAAAGAAAGGTGCCACGCGCAGCGCGAATACGCTTTTGAAATCCTGACCGAACCGGCTGCGGAGTCGAGCGCCCTCTCTTTTGTCGACGTCCAGCTTTCACCTTGCGCCAAGTTCAATCAGCGACAGTCAGTCAACCATTGGTCGATTTTTACCTGGTACCCAGGACGTATTTTGTGCACTGATTACCAGGGAGAACCGACCAGGTGCCAATAACATTAATGGTTGCTGATCGAACTTCTGGGTTGGCTCGAAAGCCGTACACAAAGCTCCATACCCAGTCTCGCTCGCTCTCACAGGATCACTTGGGACAGGTGCACGCACGCGCGGTTCGATAATGTCTCTGGCAAGGCAATCAAGGCTGTCTCAAGGTGACAGGCATTGGCCCGTTTGCGCCACTGGGCCTGGTTACCCCACTGAATAATTGAAAATCGGTGTAAAATTTATGATAATGGGAAGTTAATTGATCAATGACTTTGAATCTCCGCGCAATGCACCTGTTCCTAAGGGTCTCCGCTAAACTTGAAAAAAAAAAGGAATTTTGAGCTGGTAAGCTCAATGGCAGTGTAATCAACATTTACCACGTCTGGACGGGGGCTGGACAGCTGAGTAAACTTTAGCTTGATGTATTTTATTCATTCTAAGGTAGCAAATCCTTGTCAAAACTATTAGAAAAACCACTTTAGCTCAATTCTAAAGTGAATTTTTTTAAAATAATAAATTTTACTAATGCATGACTTGCCAATTTCAATTCAAATTTTAATTTCTGCAAAGAAACTCGAAACGGCACTATTTATGGGTTTAAAGTACCAGCTGCTTTGTCTGGTTGCACTTAATTGATCCAACATTTTGTTCCAAAGTTAGTTGTAAAGAACCTAGGTCAAGACGCGCTGGGAATGTTGTCCAATCTTAAAAGATTCTGGAGAAACTCACTTACCCTGAAATCCCAAGTAGTACCAAAGTAAAGAGGGACGAATGCCAGCCATACTATACACGTGGTATACATGGTGAAACCAATAAACTTGGCTTCGTTGAAGTTCTCCGGAATTTTGCGCGTCTTGAACGCGTACACTGTACAGCAAAGTATTAACAGCATGTTATAGGCCAGAGATACCACCAGCGACACGTCCGATATGTTACACTTCAAGACGGCGTGATTTCGGGCTTCAGTGATGTGGACACCGGTCCCCGGAGGCTTTACAACCAACCACACCAGTTCCCCGAAGAGCTGCACACTCACCAGCCCGAAGCAGATGACCAGTTGGGACTTGGGGCTGATGTACTTGGGCCTCTGTGCCGACCTTGAGGCACTGTCAAATATCCGTGCGATCCGGTTAGTTTTGGTCAGCAGCGCCGAGTAGCACATGCAGAAGGATAGGCCTAAGCCCACCCGCTGGATGGAACACGTCGCCACGGACGGCTTCATGAGGATCGGGAAGGTCATGGCGTAGCAAGCGGCGAAGCCCAACAGGAGGATGTAGCTGAGCTCCCGGCTGGAAGCCTTCACCAACGGCGTCTGGTTGTGGGTGATGAACACCACGGCCACGGCACACGTGGCTATGATCCCAAACAGGGAGAAGGCCATGGGGACGATGCACCAGAGGGTGTCCAGCTCCATATACTCCTCCCTCAGCTTGTAACACCCGCTGAGGTTCTTGATGGGCCAGTAGCCCTTCTCGCAATCCCGGCACCTGTGCTCGTTCTCCACGTACTGGTAAGGGCGGCAGGCGGTGCACAGCCAGCAGCAGATCTCGTCGTCGTCCTGCAACCGTTTGATCTCGCCGGCCTCACACGGAAGACTGCATTGGGACATTGGAAGATTGGTCTCTGAGCGGAGTGACACAGAAGGATGGAACTGCACCGCGTGCCTGTCCATCTCCAACTGGCCGTACCACTTACCAACCTTGACGTAGTGGTAGTGGTTTTCCTGGTTCTCGTCGCGCCGGAAATTCAGGATGTCGTAACGGCCTAGACCATTCCCGTTTTCGTCAAAGCTGACTTGTTGATCAACAATATCTGTGATTCAAGAGAAATCTCTATTATCTTTAAACGACAATTCACACACAATTCCTACCTTTCTGACGACACAGTTATCTTACAGGTCAAAAGCGTTGGCACCTACCAAAGAGTCTGGAAATTCTTATGAAACTCAAGGCCGAGTTCAGTTGTGCAAAATGTATACATACGTTTGCGTACCGTCAATTAATTACAAAGGCTTATAAGATCGCCAAAGACCTTCACCATGAGCCACGAGCTGGACCTAGAGAGGGCGTAATTTTCCTAGTAATGGAGGCTCCTTTGGTGGGAACTGCATTCACTCAGCTGCTTTACAAACGACTATCAAATGCACACCTTACGGTCACGTCGCTACCAACAAAATGAACACTTCCTACCAACATGGCTCTTTCCGATGAGGGGGACTTCTGCTTAAGACGAATTGAAAGCGCCCCTGTCTTCACCGTCAAAACTAAAATGAGTGTTTCATCCTGTGCGTTTGCCGATGTATAAATATAAATTGTCCGGTAATGAATAGAAGCTAAGACCAATTTGTTTCATAATTCATTAATACAAGGTTAGTAGAAATGCATATTGTAGAGTTCCGTTTGAGTTTCATAACTAGTTTTGCCGATGTTTAGACCTTTAACTTTGGGCATTTTGATTGATATGGAGACTCGTTATTTTGACACCAATTAAGACACATAAGAATTTCATGATATAACAATATAAGATGACGAATGGCTTATACATTACGGATAATCATCAGTTTCTAAGTGGAATTTACCTGTGAATACCACTTTAAGGACAAATTCCTTGAAGAGCCTTTCGCCATTTATCGGGATCATACCATCGCATAGCGATGACGTCTCGTTGCACACAACACGATGCATATTATCTAGAGCCTTGACGAGAGCGTACACTGCGTCCACGACAAACTGTGTCTTCTTCTCCTGTAGGTGCGTCCCGTCATCCAGGGACTCGCGCGCGCAAACCCCCTCGCCGGGGTCGTCCGGCAACTCGCACTTGAATTTCTGTTCCCAGTACTCCTTGAACCAGGGGTTTCGTTTGTTTGTCTTGGGATTGAGATTCAAGAAGTACTCGTCGAATTTATCAATCTTTTGAGTCTGCAGTTCGATGGTTATCGCGCCTTCGGCGACGGCCTCGTTGCCTTTCACGGGTGACTCCTGGGCGCCCCAACCGTCGCTAGCAAGCCAGATAAAATTTTCGCTGAGGTTTGCACGCTTGGCAGCACTCAAGAGATCCCTAGCATCCTCTACCCTAGTAAAAAGAACCACAACTTTGGCATTTTGCTTTCTCCTCAACCCTCTAATGATATTATCATATGTCTCCGAGTCAGCCGAGCGGCGGATCTTCTCTGATTTTGCAATACAAATATTCCTCAAGCCAGCCTCTTTGGTGAACTCGTAAATACCAGACTCGCCGTAATTTCCATCGGACGCAACGGTCGAGACGTAGGTCCAGCCGAACGAGGCGATGATGTCAGCGATGGCTTTGGCCTGCAGCGTGTCCGGTGGGACGGTCCGGGCAAAGTACTCGAACCTCTTCCGGTCCGTCAGCTCGGAGCTGGTGGAGGCGTAGCTGATCTGCGGGATCTGGAACAGGCGCAGCAGGTTAGCCACCTGGATGGACACCGTGCTGTAGGAGCCACCGATGACGCCGGCCACGACCCCGTGCTGGCCGGTCTTGTTGATGTGCTCCGCTGGACACTCCGGGGACGAAGACGTGCTAACCGTTGTCAGCGACGCACGGACAAACTCCAGCGACTGCTCGAGGGCGTAGGTGTCCTCCGAACATGTGTCCCTGATTTCAGCGCCGAGTGTGATCCCCGGTAGCAGGCTGGTGTCGTTGTTAATCAAGTCAATGGCGAACAGCATAGCCTCCAGCCTTTGAATTCCTCGATCCTCGTTGATGACACCGCAGATGCTCCCGTTTTTCCCCTTCTCATGAATAGGGAAAAGCCCTCCCAACACGATGTTGCCGTCCACTCGCAGCCTCTTCCCCTCGCCAACGCTGCCCAAGTAGTCGGGATAGACGGCAACTACTGCATAGCACATGAGCTCAAAACTTACCATCAACAGACAAATACAGTTCAGGATCTGTTCCATATTGGCGCTTACAGGTACGACGAAGGGTTCTATTCAGCGAAGTATACAGGCGGCGTTCGTGGACGGCGGAAAAAAAACACTAAATGCAGGTACTTTGGCATGACGACATCGGCTCACCAAGCGCAGATTCCGCGTTTCAAACCCATCTATCACAGTACGCCATCAGCACCAGCAAAAAAGAGATGCAACGGCCAACAGCTGATCTGCAATTGAAAGAAAAGAATTAATTTACAAACGTTGAAACGAATCCAAACACAATATTTGAAGTAAATGCAAGTGTTGAGAAGTGTACCTGCATATGTAAGTACCGCTGCATTTAACCGTAAAGGGAAACACAACCCTGAAATATGGCGTGAAATTATTTTGCCTTTTGAGAGCGTGCGCGTCTGAATTTCTTGAGGATGCATACGGATGTCCAAGATATCAGATTCATTTCAGATCACTCAGTCGATCACTGCACCCCCCCAGCTTTCACACACACACCCCGTTTTTAGTCATTCGCCTCGTTGACGTTTGCATGTGGCTTCTCGCCTAGTAGAGACGCTTCAGGATCGATGTTGCCATGGCATCCCCCGATTTCTATCGCTTACCCCTCGTTCAAACCACTGTGAGTGACAAGTGACCACAAAAAAGTGAACAAGTCGTACAAGAGACCGTGTGTAACTGTCAGACGTGCTGGCTCGGAGAGCTACCTCCCACGTCTGGCTTGTTCGCAAGCACCTATTGAATGCTAGCCGAAGTTGTGTAAACTGTCAACATGTTGATTTACAGGGTCCGCGTGAGAGTAGCGGCATATGGCACGTTGACGTAGAGATGAAACAACGTTTGAAAAAAAGCATTTCCTCCGCTCGATAAGTGGAACCCAACATCTTTCAACGCCGTAGGCTTGTACGAATAAAATATATCATGTGGGGTTGAAGCATATGCGAGTCGAGATAAAGTTCAATTCATCTGCAGAAAAGTGCAGCGCACTGAAAAAACTTCACGGCACTATCAGAGGCCAACGCACAATCTCTTGAAACAGCACTATAAGATGTTCCTGATAAATTTCCTAAAGCAAATAATAATGCTCTTGAAAACACTTCAGTAAAGTTAACATTGTAGAGACGTTTCCTTCACAGATTTAACCGAATTAAGAAATCTGAAGGCCACAGTGACCGCAGATAATGGAACGTGTAAGATGTGCTCCTATATAGCAATTGTCATATAGACTTGGCAGGTAGAGTGGGTGTTTCCAATCGCTGCCTTGTAAATACAACCTTCCCTCCCGTTGGTTTGCTCACCTTGAATCCAACCGTAGAAGAGACAAACAAAAAAAATGAATACAAAACACAACACAAGACAAGATTCGAAAGGAAGCCCCAAATGTTATTTCTCCGAGGCAAATGAAAGCTCGTGGAGTACTCCCGACCTCTCTGCAGCTGGTAATTGAAAACCCACCGCAATTACATATTGTGAGATACATCCAGGGTGGAATTTTCTTAATCGACTGTTTGGTCAGGCCAGGGTTCCACCTGTCCGTCTACGGCTGAAATAGTACGGTTTTCCTCTCTTTATCGATTAAGACTTTGCCGTATCCAAACACAGCGGGCTTTGCCCAGACTGTAGCATCCCCGGAAATGCAGTGCTCATTCGTGTGTGGGGGGTACTTCTGAGGGTGCGACAGGGAAGGCAAAAAAAAAGCTGAGTAGATGAAATTAAAAGGGGTCTCGCCTGGACTAGCGAATAGTTGCTCCTTTGATGTCATTTTTATTTGTCTTTCTTTCTTCTTCAAAACTCAAAACAACATGGTTACAGATGACATTTTATCTCAATGAAACCACATTTGATACTAATAAATGGAGACTGTTTGGCAATATAGCTAGCAGAGTCAACCGAAAAATATACGACTAATTGCAAACCTCGGTTTTACATCTTAGCAAACTATAGTTAACCATGAAGATGTGGAAATTCGTACTTCCAAAAAGCTTCAAAGCAAACATATGTTTCACAGTTTGTTAGTGAAATATTTCACACCGACTTCATCCATCAGTCCATATTTCTTCGAAAATGTTCTTGATGATCCTGAAAAAATTTTGGGGTGACTTTAAAACATATGAAGCTGACACCTCCCTTGGCATGATTTGAAGCAACCAGGCAGTGTGCGTGATACGTCGATAACGTAAGCGCAGCTTTGAAAATGCAGGCACATATTGCTTTCGAAAATCGTCCTTGAATTCCATTCCCGTTCCAGCTTGGTGACAATCGCTTGCTCGGTTGAAAAGCTTTGTTCCTTCTTTTGTGACATTTCCTGTAGGGGCCTGACGGACAACTTTGAGAAACGCAATCCAAAATGCCCTCGGCAAAATTATTATTTATATTGTCACAAGAAGACTTTCAGTGACATCAGTCATCTGACTGTCGGAGAATACACAAATCCCTAGACACACAAATAAATTAAACTATCTCCGATTTTAGCATCAGGCCTTCTTCATTTGAATAACGTAAACCTCACCAGCTATTTCTTACAAGAAGAAAATAGCCTCAAGGGTTTTTAATAAGTCTTAAAAATCACTGTTTGTTGTGAGGGATTGACAAAGGGAAATTTTGTATCTAATCACGTAAAGTGGCTAATGGAGCTAATTGGGGTATCGTGCGATCTATGACCTTAGGCCTAGCCTAAAGCCTCAAGAATTACACTCATGTTTGGTCAGTTGTTGTTGTTGTTCTTGTTATTGTTGCTGTTCTTCAGTGACGTGGGGCTGGGGATAGTTTTTTCAGAAAAAAATATGAAGAAGAAGTTCACTGTAACGTCCTCAGTTAATTCCACTTCCTGAAAGAGCAATCAACTCAAATGCTTTTTCAGTATAACATTCTGCTAATCCAACATCATCACAAGTCTTCAACCTCCTCTCCTCCCTCACATGTAGAACATAATATTTCAGAATCCCTTATAACACTGCTGTACTCTGTAGAAAAATCGGCTTGGCCTACATTTAGCAAAGCTATAAGTCGATGTGCATTTGACTATGTCACCCTTATTAAATAGACCACTCGCCTCAAAAGTTATTGCTCATGACAGGTCTCCATTTATTAACTGTCATCCGGAAACCTTTACCTTTTGACCACCTTCCAGCATCATAATTAAACGCCATCTATATTTCATACACGCATATGCTTCCACTGCGGGGTTTCTGTTCAGCTACACGCGAGGAGGCCTTATCAACACGCGTGATGTGCCACGACGCATAATGTTGTCGTGCGTTTGCTTCTACTTGGATACATTTGTCGGCGGTGGACATCTCAGGTTCTACCATCTGGAGACATGGAGGCTGAACGAATTTGCACCGCACACGTGACTCAAAACTTAAGGCGAAGTTTGGTGAGAGGACCTACCTTCTTATAGACCACTCTCATTTTGCCTACAACTTATATGGGCGACTAAAGTTTGCACCAATCACGTTTGGTTAGTTTTCGATTTTAACTCAAATTCGTTTAAAGTGGACATTTGTCCCATTGATTTATAAAGGGGTTGTATTTTCATTTAGTATTTAATAGTACGTGCGTTATTACCTGGTTTTGTAATAGCTGGGTAGGATTTTGAACACTTGTGAGTTTATTTTGTACTGACGTCTGGCCACAGCTTTAACATTCCCATGTAGGATAAACACGACCGCGACTTCAAAAAAGCAGAATCTATAAGGATATTCTTATAGTATCGAAACGTAAGATACGATGTCACTTACGAATGAGAACCCATCAACTAGTTTACCCTGGCATATGAGAATTGAGAAGCACCCACTTTACGCCTCTGCAGTGCCTCAGTTGTTCTTTGACTTGGTGTGGCTTGGGTCTATCAAGAATTCATTTTAGGAGAGGTTTCCAATTATTTCGCTCCAAACGCGGTGAGTTGTCGTGCCAAGGACAGCAGTGCTCTGGAGCAGAACTAGAAGCGTATCGACCGCCACCGTGTCACTGAACAAAAACATTCACGAAGGCCGTGATTTGGAGGAGATCAAGGTCTCGAAAATGTCTCAAATCAGAGAAGATGGTCATAAATGTTTTCAGTAAGTAGCGTGAATTAATGTCATTACGCTGAGGATACTGACAAAATTTCCACATTTCATTAGCCAATATTGGCCAACAAACATTGGTCTTCCAATGCAATCCAATATGGAACATTCACCAACGTTCTAATAGCTGGGTAGCATCGGATAATGCATAAGGTTATGTGATGTCATGAATCAGTGTCACACACACACTAACACAGTGAGACAACATCTGAGGTGACATCAACATCTTGAATAATAATGCACGAATAATTACCTAGACCAACTTAAAGATGACCCATTTGGAAAATGAATTGTAATCCGGTCTGGAGCACACTCTTTATCACATTCACGTCAAGAAGCCTACATGTGTTATTCAAGTTGAATGAATGTCAGCTCATATACCCGATCCATGAACACCCACCGCTGTAAATAAACGAGGTTTTTATTGCAAAATGCCAACATCTGAAGGTGGAAGTATTATGCTCGTATAATGTAATATATGTGCCACTCTAACAATCAAGGCTTAACATTGATAATGCGTTGGATTGGGCGTTTATACCTTAAATTAAACAAACTTCAAGGCCTGGTCAGAAAAACGCTGTGAATTGAGAAGGGGGGAAATTTAATCCCGGATTCGAGCCACGGAAAAACATCCATACTATTCCTTTTCCTAACCCGTCACAACACGCAGGCCATCTTGATCGGACTCCTTTCTGCTGGTGCTGCTGCTGCTGCTGATGCTGCTGAAATAGTAAGGTGATCCCCCTCGAGCAGAAGCACCCCCTCATCGGTTGAAAAGAGCCGCGTTAGTCGGGAGTGTTCAGTTGGTTACTAGTTATGCGACCGTAACAAGGCATTTCCTAGTCGTACGTGAACTACCGCTCCACTTCGTAGACTAACTTTGCCATAGGCCTACATAATTTTTGAAGCCTGTCTTTACTTAAACTCAGTGGGCCCTCTGCAGTCATTTATCAACGGGCTTTAAAAGAGAAAAACAGCAATGTAGTTTCCCATAGGAAAGACCATCAAGAAACACCTTATGTATCCAACCTCGTTTTGAAGTAAATCCTCGCACTACCCTCCAGGGAGAAACGCCCCACGGATATTGCATCAAATATTCATAGTGATTTATACGTCATATAATCAAACAAAATCAGCCACAGGACCTCGCT